TCAATCTTTCTTCTTAAGGAAGATTTCTAATGCTATGTATTATTTTAGTCATCCTACGCTGAATGTTTTCTAACGAATTTATGTCCATTCTGTAATATGGAGACCAGAACTGAGCTGCATAATCTAGGTGAGGCCTTACTAATGATGTATGAAGCTGCAGTATGACCTCTGGACTTCTGTTGCTTACACTTCTTGATATAAATCCCAGTAATCTATTTGCCTTATTACGTACGCTTAGGCATTGCTGTCTTGGTTTAAGGTTGCTGCTCACCATAACCCCCAAGTCCTTTTCGCAATCTGTATGGCTAAGTTCTACATCATTTAACCTATAAGTACTAGGGTTATGGGCACTCCCAAGCTTCAGAACCTTGCATTTATCTACATTGAACTGCATCTGCCACTTTTCTGACCAAGTATAGAACTTGTTTAAATCCTCCTGTAGTTCCCTAACATCTACGTTTGAATCAATTATCCTACCTATCTTTGTGTCATCAGCGAATTTGCTCATATCACTAGTAATTCCCTCATCAAGATCATTGATATATATTATAAACAACAACGGACCCAAGACTGATCCCTGTGGAACGCCACTTGTTACAGATCCCCACTCGGATTTAACCCCATTTATGGACACTCTCTGCTTCCTGTCAGTGAGCCATGACTCGATCCACGAGAGCACTTTTCCCCCAATGCCATGAGCTGCCACTTTCTTTAACAGTCTATGGTGCGGAACTCTATCAAAAGCCTTACTAAAATCTAAGTAAATAATATCAAATTCTTTATCGTGGTCAACAGCCTCAAAAGCTTTACTGAAGAAAGTTAATAAATTAGTTAGACAAGACCGGCCTCTTGTGAATCCATGCTGAGTATCATTAATCAAGCTATGCTTATCGAGATGGCTTCTTATAATCTCAGCTATAATTGACTCTAGTAATTTGCCTACAATTGAGGTCAGGCTTATTGGGCGGTAATTTGACGGTAACGACTTGTCCCCTGTTTTAAAAATAGGAATTACATTAGCCATCTTCCACATATCAGACACTACGCCTGTTTGAAGAGATAAATTAAAAATATTAGTTAATGGTTCACAGAGTTTCATTTTGCATTCCTTAAGAACCTTTGAAAAAACCTCATCAGGACCCGGCGACTTATTTTGCTTCAGTCTGTCTATCTGCTTCACAACCATCTCACTAGTGACTGTGATGTTGATGTTACATAATTTATCTTCTTCTATCCCACTATAAAAATTAATTACTGGAATATTGTTAGTGTCTTCCTGTGTAAAAACTGAGAGAAAATAATTATTTAAAATCGAGCACATTTCATTCTCTTTGTCAGTAAGGTGCCCATAGTTATTTTTAAGGGGACCTATCTTATCTCTAACTTTTGTTCTATAGACCTGGAAAAAACTTTTTGGGTTAGTTTTAGAATCCCTAGCAATTAATTTCATAGTCCCTTTTAGCTTTTCTTATCCCCTTTTTAATGTCCCTCTTAATGTCAATACACTGATTCATAAGATGACCCTCACCTCTTTTGATACGCCTATAAATTCCTTTCTTATGCCCTAGTAGATATTTCAGCCTATTATTCATCCATTTTGGGTCATTTGTATTTGATATAATTTCTTTATATGGGATAAACGTTCTTTGAGCAGCATGTATAGTGTTCAGAAAACTGTCATATTGATAGCTCTCTTCGTTACCCCAGTCAACAGATGATAAGTGTTCTCTAAGCCCATCGTAATCTGCTAAGCAAAAATCTGGGACTGTTACTGAGTTATCGCTACTATCGTACTTCTATTCAATGCTAAATGCAATTGATATGTGGTCGCTAGCACCCAGTTCCTCTGAAATTTCTAAATTATTAACAAGGGATTCATTGTTTGCCATAACTAAGTCAAGCAGATTATTTCCCCTTGTAGGTGCTGTCACAAACTGCTTCAAAAAACAATCCTGAACTACTTCTAAGAAGTCGTATGATTCTAAATTCCCAGTCAAGAAATTCCAATCAATATGACTAAAGTTAAAGTCTCCTAGAATTACTACATTATCGTGCCCTGTGGCCTTAACAATTTCCTCCCATAGTAGTCTCCCTTGGTCCCTATCTAAGTTTGGGGGACGGTATATCACTCCTAAAATCAGTTTTTCATGCCCCTCTGAAAATTCTATCCAAACAGACTCTGTATGTGTTACTTCAGACTTAATACCCGTTTTTATGCAACAGTTCAAGCGATCTCGGACATACAATGCCACCCCACCCCCCTTCCCGATACTTCTATCTACTTGGAACAATTTAAAGCCCTGAATATGACATTCCACAGGCATGTCCCGACTTTTTGAATTAAACCACGTCTCAGTTAAGGCAAATACATCAATGTTACCTGCACTAGCAACTAATCTCAACTCGTCCATCTTATTCCTAGCACTACGGCAATTAGCATAATAAACATTGAAAGACTCTCCTTTCTCTTTATCCTTCCTGCTCATTTCTGTTTTTCTACTAAACTTATTACTGTCCTTATCACCCAAAGTCCCTGGCTTTTCAATATCTACCTCGTTCTGCTTATTACTAGTTCCCCTAGAACTCGTAATATTACTACACTGGGACTTCACTGTTTTCCTGCCAAAACCCATACCACTAACTATTCCTAGTTTAAAGTCCTAACTGCTCCCTCCATTGCAGTTGCCAGTGCTACCACCCCAGACCTAGATAAGTGAACCCCATCCCTGGCATGCATGTCATTTCTGCCATAGAAGAGGTCCCAGTTGTCAATGAATGTTACCGCATTTTTCCTTACAGTATTTGTCCAGCCAGCAATTGACACCAATTGCCCTGGACAACCATTCATTTCCAACTCCTCTCCTTGGCAAAATACCACATATGACAGGGTTCCCACCCTTACTCCTAATTATATCTATTGCTGACCTATACTTGCTAATCAGGTCTTCACTCCTACGTCTGCCAACATTGTTGCCTCCAGCACTGAGACAGATAATAGGATTGCTCCCATTACCTCTCATGATGTCATCCAGACGGCTAACAATATCCTCCATCCCAGCCCCAGGAAAGGAAACTCTCTGTCTCCTACTCCTGTCCTTCAAGCAGAACGCCCTATTTATATACCTAACTTGGCTATACCCAACAACAACAATATTCTTACCTTCCTTAATGTCTTTCGTCGTAACGTTCCCAGTAGTCGACTCACATTCGTCGGGTAGCACTGAGAATGTATTAGATGTTTCCACAACAGTTTCCACGGCAGTCTCTTTCTTCTTCATCGTTTCTACCTTTCCATTCGTCTTCTTGATCGTCAACTTCTTTCCCTGCTGTCCAGCCACTGACCAGTTTCCCTTCTTGACCTGAGGACTCAAAACAGGAGTACTACGAATCTTCTTGTTTTCCTCGGTCAGTCGCCGAATCTTCATCTTCGCCATCCTCAATTCTTCCTTAAGCTGTTGGTAAAGTTGCTCGATGGAGGGCATCTTGCTTCAATTCGTAGAGAGCGCGCAAACAGGTCTTCACAGAGCTAAGTACACGTCACGTTTTAACGTAGCTAATGATTTCACCCTGCAAATAGATGGGTGGGGGATGTCGTTTGCTTGTTAATATCTTAGTTTTAGAGGAAGATATTATGAGGCCTAGTCGATTACAAATTGCTTGAACTTCATTAAGAATGGTACTCATCTTCTTATGCCCTGTTGTATGGATCATGATATCATCAGCATAGCTTATAGCTATATGTTTAGGTGAGGCAGGTAGAGCATTTAGGAGAGCATTAATCAGAATATTAAATAGCATGGGACTAAGAACTCCTCCCTGCGGTGTACCTAAAGACATTTCTTTAGAATCACTTCTGAAGCATTGGTAAAGGACAGAGGATACTCTATTTGACAGGTATCCTATTATCCAGCAGAGTAAGCTATCACCAATATTCATTTTGGCTAGTTCATGTAGTATAACGGTTCTGTTCGCAATATCAAATGCAGATTTTAGATCAAGAAAAGTGGTAAAACTAGTAGAGGTGTGTGCAGTGAGAAAGGTGGAAATACAGTTCTGCACACTTTTACCTTTCATGAACCCATAGAGGTAGGGGGAAAGGTGGTGTCTGATTCTGTAGTACAGTCTGTTAAGCATCATTCTTTCAAAAGTTTTACAAAGACATCTAGTTAAGGAGATCGGCCTAAATGTATCAGGCTGTTGGGGCTTAGGGATAGGCACAATGAGGCTATTGGTCCAGGAAGTAGGATAAGGGACAGATTACCTCAAACTTCCTTTCCACATCTTCTATAGTCACCAGGATTAATTTATCTTTTAACCTCATATGACGTAATATGCCAGCGAATGAAAACAAAAAATCATTGTATTTCAAAGGACCTAAAATCTGGAACACCCTACCTGAAAACTCAAGAACTGCAGACACATTCATCACCTTCAAAACTACCATTAGAAAACATCTTATCTCCCTGATCCACCCCGACAACTAACTACATGATAACCACCTGGTGGTTCACAATTACACTCACTCACCCACTGACTATAAACACAGAAATACTAATCTTAATCTTAAAATAATAAATCCTAACTAGTCATAAGTTTGCCTATGATACTCCAATATAGACACTTTGTATTGTGCCAAAACAAAAGCATTCACATTGCTAAACTCACAAATTATGATGTAGTCACTTAGCCTTAATACCATAATCTGTAAGGATTTAATGTTTAGAATTAATTTAAGTCTGCCCGAAATGCCTAGCCATGCTAGGTATCCTAGTGGCCCCCTCTGTAATTAGTATTTTATAACATGTAAACCAAACAATACCCAAAACCTGTAAACCCCACATTGTAACCCTTATAGAGAATAAACTTGAATTGAATTGAATTGAATTGAATATATTTAATTACTGCTTAAAACGATTTTTTAATCTTCCCGTGTTCCTTCTTTCTATCTCCGTTCCTTAACTTTCCCTCTGCTTCCCATTAAACTCCAAATAATCAGACATGCTTCATCACCAACCAGCTGACGAACGTAAACAAACATGGCGCCCAAGGGTAAAAAGGGCGGGAAGAAGAAAGGCGGGAAAAAGAAAGACAAGAAGGAAGATGACGAAGATTTGAAGCCCAAGGAAGCTGTGTCTGAGCTGGACAAACATTACTACCTGAACCAGATCCAGGTGAGCCACTGTGTTGGTGAGTCACTGTGTTGGTGAATCACTGTGTTGGTGAGCCACTGTGTTGGTGAGTCACTGTGTTGGTGAATCACTGTGTTGGTGAGGCACTGTGTTGGTGAATCACTGTGTTGGTGAATCATTGTGTTGGTGAGTCACTGTGTTGGTGAGTCACTGTGTTGGTGAATCACTGTGTTGGTGAGGCACTGTGTTGGTGAATCACTGTGTTGGTGATTCATTGTGTTGGTGAGCCACTGTGTTGGTGAGTCACTGTGTTGGTGAATCACTGTGTTGGTGAGGCACTGTGTTGGTGAATCACTGTGTTGGTGAATCATTGTGTTGGTGAGTCACTGTGTTGGTGAGTCACTGTGTTGGTGAATCACTGTGTTGGTGAATCACTGTGTTGGTGAATCACTGTGTTGGTGAATCACTGTGTTGGTGAATCACTGTGTTGGTGAGGCACTGTGTTGGTGAATCACTGTGTTGGTGAATCACTGTGTTGGTGAATCACTGTGTTGGTGAATCACTGTGCTGGTGAATCACTGTGTTGGTGAATCACTGTGTTGGTGAATCACTGTGTTGGTGAGGCACTGTGTTGGTGAATCACTGTGTTGGTGAATCACTGTGTTGGTGAATCACTGTGTTGGTGAATCACTGTGTTGGTGAATCACTGTGCTGGTGAATCACTGTGTTGTGAATCACTGTGTTGGTGAGGCACTGTGTTGGTGAGGCACTGTGTTGGTGAATCACTGTGTTGGTGAATCACTGTGTTGGTGAATCACTGTGTTGGTGAATCACTGTGTTGGTGAATCACTGTGTTGGTGAATCACTGTGTTGGTGAGGCACTGTGTTGGTGAATCACTGTGTTGGTGAATCACTGTGTAGGTGAATCACTGTGTTGATGAATCACTGTGTTGGTGAATCATTGTGTTGGTGAATCACTGTGTTGGTGAATCACTGTGTTGGTGAGGCACTGTGTTGGTGAGGCACTGTGTATGTGAGTCACGATGTAGGTGAGCCACTGTGTTGTTGAGGCACTGTGTTGGTGAGGCACTGTGTTGGTGAGGCACTGTGTTGGTGAACCACTGTGTTGGTGAACCACTGTGTTGGTGAGGCACTGTGTTGGTGAATCACTGTGTAGGTGAGGCACTTTGTTGGTGAGTCACTATGTAGGTGAGTCACTGTGTTGGTGGGTCACTGTGTTGGTGAACCACTGTGTTGGTGAGGCACTGTGTTGGTGAATCACTGTGTTGGTGAGGCACTGTGTTGGTGAACCACTGTGTTGGTGATTTTTTTTTATATATATTTTATTTGAAATAGTACAGAAGAGGAAAAGTAAAATACAGGACCTATCCTGCAACAGATGTAATAACCTTCTGTTGCTCAATAATCCACCACACACAACCCCGTGTGGGCTCTCAACACCCCCCCTCCCATTATCCTTCTCCTATTCTAGTAAGTAAGTAAGTAAGTAAGTTTATTCAGGTATACACAAGTACAGTTACATAGAATTATCATACATAGCAGCATATGTGTCGAGAACCTAGGATAACCCAAAAAAGTCAGACAGAGTGACTTATTTCCATTGGGGTCCTTTTACCTTATTATTATAATATAAAGGTTATAATATTTTCTTATTATTCTACAATGAAGATAACATCTTATTATCATACTAAAAAGACTATCTACTACACGAGGGTCATTAAGACTATCTACCATACGAGGGTCATTACTAGGAATAAGGTAAAATTTAAACGTATGTTAGCTAAAAAATAGAAAATCATTCCCCTCCCTTTCTGTAGCTACATTCATCAGACACCTTTTGGCACTCTTCTTGAACTGGTTCATGCTATGACTGGCTTTGACATGTGCTGGCAGTCTGTTCCATTCCTTTATTGCCGTACAATAAAAGGTGTTTGAAGCCTGGCCAATGACTGTGGGTACTACAAAGTTGTGCTCTCTCCCCCTTGTACTATGATTGCTTTGGTTCCCAACCTTGACAAAATTGACAGCAAGATATTCTGGACACTGTTTGTGAGCAATTTTATAAACATGATTTAGCTTCAGTTGTTTTACTCTGTCTTCAACATTCAGCATATCCAACTGCTGTAATTCATCCTGGCCTACATGTTCTCTTGGTCCCAGCCCCAGGATGAATCTTACGATTTTGTTCTGGGTGATTTGCAGTCTATCTTTCAGTTTTTTTTGTCAAGGCAGAGGACCAAGAAGAGCAAGCGTAATCCATATGGCATTGTATAAGGGCTAGACATAAGGTCCTGCGAGCCTCAGTAGGTAGACACTGTGCTTGTCTATACAGGAACTTCAGTCTGGCATTCGCTTTCTTTACTACACTGTTCCCTATCAATTCTCCTGACATGCATGGGTCAAAGGGGATTCCCAGATATTTTACTGATGAAACCAAAGTGATGGACTCCCCATTACACTGAACATTAAAATTATTTACCCTTCTCAGTTTATGTTTCGTGCCAAAGAGAATGGCTTCAGTTTTCCTTAGGTGTAATGATAGTTTGTTGTCTACTAACCATTTGCTGCAGGACTCCAGTTCCAGTGTTAAAACATTAGCAATATCTTGTGGGTCTTTACCTGTCACTAACAGAGCACTGTCATCTGCATACAGTAGGAGTTTGCACTTGACACTGATATAAACTCACAAACGTTGTTTAAGGAAGACTCTTCATCGTCAAAGAATCAACTTAGAAGAATTCCGTACAGCTGTGACTGAAATAGAAAATAGAGTCAACAACAGACCTCTAACTTATGTTACCGATGATCTGGACAATTTAGAAGTGTTAAGTCCATCTCATTTACATAAACAAGGTTTGCCACAACAACCTGCATCAATTACACACATTGTGTACGAATGGTATACAATACCGACAAGATGAGAGTAAGACACATATGCAACAATTTGTATTGATAAAGCCACTGGATGGCGAAACGTCTACAATAAAGATACCCAGATGTTGCATATGTGTCTTACTCTCAATTACACACATGTTGATATATATACATTAACATTACAGTTGTCCTGCTCGTCCAACACTGTGTATTACACAACCACAAGACTGCTTGAACAGTGTACTAACACCAGTCATGGCTTAGTTATGTACCAAAACAATCAATACATCACCACAAACTGAAATACATTTAGCACATATAAATAATTCACTGCAGGTAAGGAGACCTATCACTAAAATTCTCCGCAGCACTAACGTGTGGGTAGACTCACCACTGTGTTGGTGAGTCACTGTGTTGGTGAATCAATGTGTTGGTGAGGCACTGTGGTGATGAGTCACTATGGGTGCGGCACTGTGTGGGTGACTCGCTGTGCTGGTGACTTACTGTTAGACACTCTTTTGGGTAGCCAGTGTTGATAAGTCATCGTATTGGTGAGTTACTTAGGGGAGGAATAACTCGCTTTATCGAGTCACTGTTGCAAGTCACTGTTGCAAGTCACTGCTGGGAAGCAACGTTCCCTCTCCCCTTACATATTAATAAAAGTGCCCCTTGTAACCCAGCCAGCATCCTGTGCCTCAAGGCACACAAGAAGTACAGAGTGGGGCCTAAGTTTCCTATTTCCGATGCATAAGCCTGAAGATAATCCAAGAAAGATATGGGGTAATCGCCCCAGCCACCAGCTGACGGGCTTATCAGCCAGGCTGTTGGTGCTAGCAATATGAATGCACCACAACTTCGGCTGATCAGGAGGTGACTTGAGGAATTTATCAAATTCCATCCTGAAGAAGACAGCAACTCCCTGAAGAAGACAATATCCCTACTCACCTGGAGTCTACCTGGAGGGTATTCCGGGGATCAACGCCCCCGCGGCCCGATCCAAGACCAGACCTCCCAGTGGATCAGGGCCTGATCAACCAGGCTGTTACGAACCACAGCCCGGCTGATCCAGCACCGACTATAGGTATCTGTCCAGCTCCCTCTTGAAGACATCCAGGGGTCTATTGGTAATTCCCCTTATAGCTGGTGTGAGGCTGAACAGTCTTGGGCCTCGGACACTTACTATGTACCAGTGGTGCCCCTAGTTTTTGTTAATACAGTTAATCTTACCTTATCTTATAAAAGCGTTTCCTATCTTATCATATTTTATATTAAATTTTTACCAATTGGTAACTTATCCTCTTATATTTTTTTCATATTATTTAATTTTATTCTTTATCTTTCTTATTCTTAAGTTTTACAGTGGAAAACTGCTTGCGAGAAAGGAGGATCGAGCCTCCACCACTCCTTATGCTGAGTGACTCACACGGGTTTAGTATAAATATACTATCTTATTTTATCTTACGATACATTATCTTTTCGATTGTTCTGATCAAAGATTATCTCACGTCTATACAGTCTTATTTTGTATCATCGTATTTGACCTTATTTTGTCTAATGTAATGTTAGTGCGTGTGGGTGTTGGCAGGCACTGGAGGTGAAGCTGAAGAGGACGACGACCAGGTGTGAGCAACTGGACGACGCTGAGAAGCACGCCAGGACCCAGTACGACAAGCTCCACACTGATAAGAACGACATCATCACCTTCCTCAAAGATAGGTACGAAGGCAAAGACAGAGATGGACCACTACACCACAATGGCATAAAGCATCAAGTTCTGTATCATGGTGTTTTGGTGGACTGGTGTCGAGAGGTTAGGTTAGGAAAGAATCGTCAAGAAACAGGACAAGAGTTTCCTGACGCGGGTCTTAATCACATTATGTTCCGACGCTGGAGCTTTCGGTCAGCTCACTAAGACCTTACACCGGTCCACATCCTTTAAAAATTAACGTTGTATGTGTAACCAGTCTTCACTTAGTATCGAGAGTTTAGCTGGCTTCCTGGGAGACTGAGTGTCTCGGGATCGAATCTCGGCCAGTCGCAAAATAGGATGACTTGGGGGGTTTATAAATCTGTAGTGTAGGGAAGGGCGGGTAGGGGTCGTCCTAGGAAAGGATGAAGGGATGGGTAAAGAGGTTTTGTGTGTAAGGGGCTTGGACATAGAACAGGTATGTGAAAGCGTGTTAGATAGGGGTAAATTGGGACAAATGGTTTTTAGGACTTTACAAGCTGTTGAAGTGTGAGCAACATAATATTTTGTGAAGGGACTCAGAGAAACCGGTTAGCCGGACTTGAGTCCTGGAGGTGGAAAGTACAATGCCTGCACTCTAAAGGAAGGGTTTGGGATATTTGTTGTTTAGAGGGACATCTAAACTGTCGTATCTGCACACCTCTGGCATGATAGTGATGGTGTGGAAGACGGCCAGCATGTTACATAAATATGTATATGTATGTAAGAATATAAGAATGGAGGAACATTGCAGAAGGCCTACTGGCCCATACAAGGCTGGTCCTTATCAAATCCACCCCTTCCCAAAGCTACCCAAGAACTTATTTCCGTACCCACGACACCAATCAAACCCAGCCCCTCCCATTCATATATATGTCCAATCTCTCCTTAAAGCTACCCAGGGTCGTAGCCTCGATCACCCTACTCGGAAGATTGTTCCACGCATCGACCAGTCTGTTTGAAAACCAGTATTTATCCATGTCCTTTTTAAATCTAAATTTATCCAACTTAAATCCGTTATTCCTGGTTCTTACCTTAGTCGATATCATCAGTATTTTATTAATATCGCCTTTGTTTATGCCCATCATTCACTTTTACACTTCATTGATATCTCCCCTCATTCTACATCTCTCAAGAGAATTATGATTCAAAGATCTAAGTCTATCTTCATATGAGAGATTCCTTATACAGTGAATCATTTTAGTCATCCTCCTCTGTATGTTTTCCAATGAATTTATATCCATCCTGTAGTAAGGAGACCGAAACTGAGCGGCATAATCTAAATGAGGCCTCACTAGTGATGTATAGAGCTGTAAAATAACTTTTGGACTTCTGTTACTTATACTTCTTGAAATCAGTCCTAGTAATCTGTTTGCCTTGTTGCGCACACTTAGGTGTTGTTCACACTGAACTCCATCTGCCACTCTTTAGACCAAGACATTAATTTGTCCATATCGTCCTGGAGTTCACTGGTACCCTCCTCAGAATTAATCATTCGGCCTATTTTTGTATCATCAGCAAATTTACTCATGTCAATTGTAATTCACTCATCAAGGTCATTAATGTAAATTATGAACAACACTGGGTCTATAACTGATCCTTGTGGAACGCCACTAGTGACCAGTCCCCACTCAGATTTGACCCCGTTAATGGAAACTCTCTGCTTTCTATTGGTAAGCCATGCCTCTATCCATGCTAGAACTTTACCTCCTATACCATGAGCTGCCACTAATCTTAAGAGTCTTTTGTGAGGTACTGTACCAAAGGCTTTACTGAAATCCAAATAAACAACATCATATTATTTACCACTGTCTACTGTCTCAAATGTTTTATTGAAGAAGGTCAGTAAATTTGTCAGGCACGAACGACCTCTTGTGAACCCATGCTGAGAGTCACTAATAAAATTATGCTGGTCAAGGTGACTTCTAATAATATCAGTTATAATTGATTCTGATAATTTGCGTACTATAGACGACAGGCTTATTGGACGGTAATTTGAAAAAATGGACTTAACCCCTGTTTTAAATATAGGATTAACATTAGCCGTCTTCCACATCTCTGGCATAACACCAGACTGGATAGACGCATTAAACACGCTCGTTAATGGCTGACTAAGTTCCAACTTACATTCCTTAAGCACTCTTGAAAATAGTTCATCAGGTCCCGCGGACTTATTTCACTACAGTTTATTATATCTGTCTGATAACCATATCCCTCGTGACAGTTATATTGTTTAATTTGTTTTCTTCAAGGACTCAATAACTGTCAATTTCTGGGATATCATTTATGTCTTCCTGTGTAAAGACTGACAAGAAATAACCATTAAATAGAGAACACATTTCCTTCTCTCAGCATTCTCCATCTGACGTTGCACGTCGCTATGCTTCTTATGTATACTCATGTACTCTCCTCAGGTAAATCTGTTTGTGACTTGTTCACCTCCACTGAGTGGGCGAAACGAAGTCAATAAGGTTAACATTACACTGCATTTGGGTGTTTTTCCACAATTAATTTGTTCAGCTATCAAAACTATTACTATATCTATCGACCCATTATATACCTTTACAAACTTTGCCGAACAGGCACAGAGTTGCAGATTTTACGAACATCCATTCCCTTCAGACATGAAGAGTCTGCAGATCAATCCTCCAGTTAACCTTGAGAGCTGTTGTGAAAAAATCGCTTTCAAGAATATGTACAAAGTCACCTTACCTAAATATTAATATAGTGAAGACAGTGATGGTGACTATGGAGGGAACTCTAGAGTGTTTGTGATGGTGTTAATGATGTGAAGTGAACTTAGTCTATGATAGTGAGTGTTGTGAAGATATGTGGTGATGAGTATACAGAGAAGAGAGTGTGACAGCGAGTGTTGTGTAATGAAGATAGTGATGGAGAGAGTCTAGTGTAGTGAAGACAGACAGTGATGTAGGGAGCATTGTGAAGTAAGTTAACTCCAAATATCACACAAATTTATCTAAGAGAATCTAAAATTCATTCTAATAATTATCTCCTCAAGTTCAGCAATATATTGAAATTAAAATAACCAGTTCAATCATTCCCATTAATCTTCTGCAAATTAATATTGTATCAGCTTTCCTCATCTGTTGTCCAGTAATTGATTATACTGTCAAAACACTAGCTCGTAATTGACATATTTACTCTACATAATTTCCCAGTGTAACAACCTGGAGTTTACCTGGAGAGAGTTTCGGGGGTCAACGCCCCCGCGGCCCGGTCTGTGACCAGGCCTCCTGGTGGATCAGCGCCTGATCAACCAGGCTCTTGCTGCTGGCTGCACGCAAACCAACGTACGAGCCACAGCCCGGCTGATCAGGAACTGACTTTAGGTGCTTGTCCAGTGCCAGCTTGAAGACTGCCAGGGGTCTGTTGGTAATCCCCCTTATGTGTGCTGGGAGGCAGTTGAACAGTCTCGGGCCCCTGACACTTATTGTATGGTCTCTTAACGTGCTAGTGACACCCCTGCTTTTCATTGGGGGGATAGTGCATCGTCTGCCAAGTCTTTTGCTTTCGTAGTGAGTGATTTTCGTGTGCAAGTTCGGTACTAGTCCCTCTAGGATTTTCCAGGTGTATATAATCATGTATCTCTCTCTCCTGCGTTCCAGGGAATACAGGTTTGGAACCTCAAGCGGTATTGTTTCTTCATAAATGTCACATTTCTCTTTTGTTCTGAATCGTATCATGATGATTACAAAAAGAATCCAAATAAAACTTGAAGACTTGAGTAACTTAGGCAACTTACGGGAATCTTTATTCTTATCAGTTTTATTCATTTATTTTTATTTACAAAATTGATTTTTTATTTGGTCCCCGAAAATGTGTAAAATGTAGGATGTGGCCCCTGGTGCTCAGGACCATGAACCTTGGAGGCCCCTGGTGCTAGGACCATGAACCTTGGAGACCACTGGTGCTAGGACCATGAACCTTGGAGACCCCTGGTGCTAGGACCATGAACCTTGGAGACCTCTGGTGCTCAGGACCATGAACCTTGGAGACCTCTGGTGCTAGGATCATGAACCTTGGAGACCACTGGTGCTCAGGACCATGAACCTTGGAGACCACTGGTGCTAGGACAATGAACCTTGGAGACCTCTGGTGCTAGGACCTGAACCTTGAGACCCCCGGGTGCTAGGACCTGAACCTTGCAGACCTCTCGTGCCGGGCATGAACCTTGGAGACCTCTGTGCTAGGACCAAATGAACCTTTGGGAGACCCTGTTGCTGGACCATGAACCTTGCAAAACTCTGGTGCTCAGGACCATGAACCTTGGGGGACCCTGGTGCTCGGGACCATGAACCTTGGAGACCCTGGTGCTAGGCCCATAACCCTTTGAGACCTCTGGTGCTGGGACCATGAACCTTGGAGACCCTCCTGGGCTAGGACCATGAACCTTGGCAGACCTCTGGTGCTCAGGACCATGAACCTGGAGACCTCGGGTGCTGGGACCATGCCCTTTGGGAGACCTCTGGTGCTGGGACCATGAACCTTGGGAGACCTCTGGTGCCAGCCCATGAACCTTGGGAGACCTCTCGTGCTAGGACCATGAACCTTGGAGACCTCTGGTGCTAGGACCATCAACCTTGGAGACCTCTGGTGCTAGGACCATGAACCTTGCAGACCCCTGGTGCTCAGGACCATGAACCTTGGAGACCTCTGGTGCTCAGGACCATGAACCTTGGAGACCCCTGGTGCTCAGGACCATGAACCTTGGAGACCTCTGGTGCTCAGGACCATGAACCTTGGAGACCTCTGGTGCTCAGGACCATGAACCTTGGAGACCTCTGGTGCTAGGACCATGAACCTTAAAGACCTCTGGTGCTAGGACCATCAACCTTGGAGACCTCTGGTGCTAGGACCATGAACCTTGCAGACCCCTGGTGCTCAGGACCATGAACCTTGGAGACCTCTGGTGCTCAGGACCATGAACCTTGGAGACCCCTGGTGCTCAGGACCATGAACCTTGGAGACCCCTGGTGCTCAGGACCATGAACCTTGGAGAATTCTGGTGCTCAGGACCATGAACCTTGGAGACCTCTGGTGCTAGGCCATGAACCTTGGGACCCTGGTGCTCAGACCAAACCTTGGAGACCTCTGGTGCTCAGGAACCATTAACTTGGAGCCCTTTCGGGTGCTCAGGACCATGAACCTTGGAACCTCTGTGCTCAGGACATGAACGGGAGACCCTTTGGTGCTCAGACCATAAAACCTTGGAGACCTTGGGCTCAGGACCATAAACCTTGGAGACCTCTGGTGCTCAGGACCATGAACTTGGAGACCCTGGTGCTCGGGACCATGAACCTTGGAGACCTCTGGTCTCCGGGACCATGAACTTGGAGACCCTGGTGCTCAGGACCATGAACTTGGAGACCTCTGGGCTCAGGACCATGAACCTTGAGACCTTTTGGTGCTCAGGACCATGAACCTTGGAACCCTCTGGTGCCCCAAGACCATAAAACCTTGGAGCCCCTCTGGTGCTCAGGACCATGAACCTTGGAGACCCCCTGGTGCCAGGACCATGAATTTTGGGAGACCTCTGGTGCTCAGGACCATGAACCTTGGAGACCCCTGGTGCTCAGGACCATGAACCTTGGAGACCCCTGGTGCTCAGGACCATGAACCTTGGAGACCTCTGGTGCTCAGGACCATGAACCTTGGAGACCTCTGGTCCCTCAGGACCAGAAACCTTGGAAAACCCTGTGCTCAGACCATAAACCTTGAGACCCCTGGTGCTCAGGACCATGAACCTTGGAGACCTCTGGTGCTCAGGACCATGAACCTTGGAGACCTCTGGTGCTCAGGACCATGAACCTTGGAGACCTCTGGTGCTCAGGACCATAAACCCTTTGGGAGACCTCTGGTGCTCAGGACCATGAACCTTGGAGACCTCTGGTGCTCAGGACCATGAACCTTGGAGACCTCTGGTGCTCAGGACCATGAACCTTGGAGACCTCTGGTGCTCGGACCATGAACCTTGGAGACCTCTGGTGCTCAGGACCATGAACCTTGGAGACCTCTGGTGCTCAGGACCATGAACCTTGGAGACCTCTGGTGCTCAGGACCATGAACCTTGAAGACCTCTGGTGCTCGGGAAACATGAACCTTGGAGCCCTTCTGGTGCCGGGGCCCATGAACCTTGGAGACCTCTGGTGCCAGGACCATGAACCTTTTGGAGACCTCTGGTGCTCGGGAACCATGAACCTTGGAGACCTCTGGTGCTCAGGACCATGAACCTTGGAGACCTCTGGTGCTCAGGACCATGAACCTTGGAGACCTCTGGTGCTCAGGACCATGAACCTTGGAGACCTCGGGTGCTCGGGAAACCAGAACCTTGGAGACCTCGGGTGCTCAGGACCATGAACCTTTGGGAGCCCCTCTGGTGCTCAGACCATGAACCTTGGAGACCCTGGTGCTCAGGACCATGAACCTTGAGACCTCTGGTGCTCAGGACCATGAACTTGGAGACCTCTGGTGCTCAGACCATTGAACCTTGAGACCCTGGTGCTCAGGACCATGAACCTTTGGGAGACCTTGGTGTCAGGAAAATGGAAACCTTGCGACCCCTGGCTAGGACCATAAACCTTGGAGACCTTGGTGCTCAGGACCATGAACCTTGAGACCTCTGGTGCTAAAGCCCATGAACTTGGAGACCTCTGGTGCTCAGGACCAATGAACCTTGGACCTCTGGTGCTCGGGACCATGAACCCTTGCAGAAAACCTTGGTGCTAGACCATGAACCTTGAGACCATGGTGCCCCAGACCATGAACCTTGGAGACCTCTGTCTCGGGCCCAAATAACCTTGGAGACCTCTGGGCTAGGCCCTATGAACCTTGGAGACCCTTGGTGCTCGGACCATAAACCCTTTGGAGCCCTTTGGGTGCTCAGGCCCATGACCTTGGAGAACCCGGTGCTCAGGACCAAGAACCTTGGAGACCTTGGGGGCAGGACCATAACCTTGGAGACCTCTGGTGCTAGGCCCATGAACCTTGGAGACCTCTGGTGTCAGCCCAGAACTGGAGACTCTTGCAGAACCTACCTTGGTGCTCAGGACCATAAAACCCCTTGGAGACCTCTGGTGCTAAAGGACCATGAACCTTTGGGAGACCTGTGGTCAGGACCCATAACCTTGAGATCTCCGGTGCTCAGGACCATGAACCTAGGAAAACCTTTGGGCTCAGGACCATGAATCCTTGGAGACCTCGGGTGCTAGGACCATGAACCTTGGGACCTCTGGTGCTCAAACCATGAACCTTGAGACCTCTGGTGCTAGGACCATGAAATTTGAGACTCTGGTGCTCAGACCATGAACCCCTTGAGACCCTGGTGCTCGGACCATAACCCTTTGAAGCCCCCGGTGCAGGCCATGACTTGGAGACCTGGCCAGGACCATGAACTTGGAGACTCTGGTGCTCGGACCAGGAACTTGGAGACCTGGTGCTCACACCATAAACCCTTTGGGAGATCTGGTGCTCAGGACATGAACTGGGACTTGGGGGGTCAGGACCATGAACCTTGGAGACCTGGTGCCAGGACCAACCTTGGGACTCTGTGCCAGGACATGGAACCTTGGAGACCTCGGGTGCACAGGACCATAAACCTTGGAGACCTCTGATGCTCAGGACAATGAACCTTGGAGACCTCTGGTGCTCAGGACTATGAACCTTGGAGACCTTGGTGCTCAGGACCATGAACCTTGGAGACCTCTGGTGCTCAGGACCATGAACCTTGGAGACCTCTGGTGCTCAGGACCATAAACCCTTTGGAAAACCTTTTGGTGCACAGGACCAAAACCTTGGAGACCTCTGGTGCACAGGACCATAAACCTTGGAGACCTCTGGTGCACAGGACCATAAACCTTGGAGACCTCTGGTGCACAGGACCATAAACCTTGGAGACCTCTGGTGCACAGGACCATGAACCTTGCAGACCTTTGGTGCTCAGGATCATGAACCTTGCAGACCTCTGGTGCTCAGGACCATGAACCTTGGAGTCCCCTGGTGGTCAGGGCCATGAACCTTGGAGACCCTTGGTGCTCAGGACCATGAACCTTGAAAACCCTTGGTGCTGAGGACCATGACCCTTGGAGACTCTCTGGTGGTCAGGAACATGAACCTTTGAGACCTCTGGTGCTCAGGACCATGAACCTTGGAGACCCCTGGTGCACAGAACCATGAACCTTGGAGACCCCTGGTGCACAGAATCACGAACCTTGGAGACCCCTGTGTATCAGTGCTCTGTATCAGTGCTATGTATCAGTGTTGTGTATCAGTGTTGTGTATCAGTGCTGTGTATCAGTGGTATGTATCAGTGTTGTGTATCCGTGTTGTGTATCCGTGCTGTGTATTAGTGCTATGTATCAGTGATCAACATTGACTCGTGTACACAGTACATGTAGACGACTACGTGCAGGTATTACACGAGTTTTTAAACCAATCGTAAGTTATGCTAAATCATGGCGTGAAACCAAAAATTCAGAGTAAACTATTCGCTAACTTCTAGACTATTGTATCCTCTACTTACAAAAGAATCCGCAGGTTCATAAATTAGTTTCTGGACCATTTCGCAGACTTTCCGCTAAGACTGATGAAGTGGAAGAACTACGAAGTCGATTATCAGGACTGGTGAAGGCGAAGCTTGCCGAGCAGCAGGAGTACGAGGTAAACAATAGTTGTTACTGGGGAAGGGGTCGTAAAACTCACTGATGGGAAGATATTATGACAGAATGGAACCGTTAATTCGAGTCCCTTCTCCTTGGTGACCATTTTTTTCAAGTCAATACGATAAAGAATTGATAAAGCTTGGTCTTCAACATAAAAGATTCCCCATTAAAGATTTCCAATCTAACTCACGAATCGTAATGACACATTGCAAACAAGCCATACCACGGGGGGATTTGACCCCGCGGTCAGAGAGTCTCAAAACTCCAGTTTTGAAACTCACTAACCGCGGGTTCAAACCCCACCCGTGGTATGGTTTCTTTCCAATCTGCCATTGTGCCTTAACATCTGCGTCTATGAGTACCTTATTTATGCATTTTTTCGTAAAAGATATGTTATCTTTAATAATAATAATTAATAATAATAATAGGAATAATAATAATAATAATAATAATAATAATAATAATAATAATAATAATAATAATAATAATAATAAATGAGCATCCCTCCCTGCCAGGCTCGACTCTCCAGGCTGGCCAAGGAGGCAGAGAACACACGACTCGACCTTAACGATAAGATTATCGCCCTCACGAGAAAGTTGGAGAGTCTAGAGGAGTTTCGTCAACATAAGGAAGAACTTGAAGATAAACTGCGCCGACTGCAGAAGGAACTCAAAGATTGCCAAGCTTCGCATCAGGAAAGGTGAGTATGCTATGCATAATGCTATGCATAGTATAAGTGGCTTTGGCATGCTGCTCTTATCTGTATTTTTTGGTACCTCTGTATGTGTGCTCAAATTGTATGTGTGCTCAAATTGTTTGTATTTGTTTGTGGTTTAAGGGATCGAATCTTAGCTCCTAGCCCTGCCGGGGTCACTAATTCCTAACCTAGTGATGCTAGGTTGTTTGTCTTAATGCTAGTGTATTTGTGGCAGTGATAAGTTATAAGTGATGGTATTGAGGAATTTTGGTTGTGTTGTGATGGTATTAGTGTAGGGTATTGAAGGTGTTTGTAGTGGTGTTTAAGTGTTTATATAGTGATAAGAGGCTCGAGGTGGTGTTAGTGAGGTATTAGGGTGTTTCTACTGGTGTTATGGTTTTCTGAATTGATATCCTGGTGATGGTGATGTGACACCTTCATACAGAGGAAGTCTCCTCCAATTCCTTCGCTAAACAACGGTTTAACTTGGCCTACTTCCACTAGTGGGACACGCGCACCTGTAAATTCAACTCCAACTGCTACATATCACTGTTGCTTCCATATTAGGGTTGGTTGGCTGCCTCTGCTCCAAGGCTGAGGGACTTAAATCTATTTACCAAGGCTGAGGGACTTAAATCTATTTACCAAGGCTGAGGGACTAATCAGCTCTAAACTAATACTGTCTCCACTGTTATATATATATCAGTATTTAACTAAAAAAGCCTGCTGCAGGGGCGAAACGTTACAGTTGTAAGGATGCATGTGTGTTGTACATGTGTTTAATTCATTAAAAATCTCTGTTGTACAGATAAAACTGACTAAAAAGACTTTTCAATTACTGCGTTTCTGATGAATGGTTTGTGATGAATGGTTTGAAAAACCGACAAGTTGAAGATTGAGACACTTATGCAGCATATGGGAATCTTTATTCAGGAAACGTTTCGCCACACAGTGGCTTCATCAGTCCAATACAAAGAGGAAGGCGTAAGGAGAGGAGGAGAATGAGGTAATCAGTCCCTCAACCTGGAGTCGATGTGTTTCTCTTTAGCGTCTATAGTCTGTTCAACTGAGAATAAGACATGTGTAACACCTTTATTAAGACGGTTCTCCAACTGGTGGCAATTTCAGTTCAATACAGAGACTATATGCGTGAGATAATGCAAGATTAAATAATCACATCCTCAGCATTAATCAATAATAATAATAATAATAATAGTAATAATAATGAAAGTGTTCAGTCTAATAGCCTTGATTAATCTGAAGAAGAGGCAGGAGGATGGATACTTATGGCATCAACACACAGGAACTCCACTAGAGAAACTTCAGCCTCCACAGTCACTCTTGAGTAGGATATCATCTGTATCAAGGATTCCATGGTGTTTCTGAGTCAGATAAGATAAGATAAGATAAGATTTCGTTCGGATTTTTAACCCCGGAGGGTTAGCCACCCAGGATAACCCAAGAAAGTCAGTGCGTCATCGAGGACTGTCTAACTTATTTCCATTGGGGTCCTTAATCTTGTCCCCCAGGATGCGACCCATACCAGTCGACTAACACCCAGGTACCTATTTGCTGCTAGGTGAACAGGACAACAGGTGTAAGGAAACGTGTCGAAATGTTTCCACCCGCCGGGAATCGAACCCGGGCCCTCCGTGTGTGAAGCGGGAGCTTTAGCCACCAGGCCACCGGGCCTGGCATACAGTGTCGAAAATCTGATTAACAAAACACCTGTGCAACACCTGGGTATCTGTTATAAACGAGATTGATAAATAAGACACATGCACAACAGTTAGGAATCTTTATTCCCCAAACGTTTCGCCTACACAGTAGGCTGTGGAGGAGAACTCTTCTCCAGCCTGTGGGACTGACCACCTCATAACTACGTCTTCGACGGTGATGGACTGATTACTTCGTCTTTACATCTCCTCTACTTCTGCTACCTCCTCTGTATTCGACTGAAGAAGCCTACTGTATACGCGAAACGTTTCGGAATAAAGATACCTAACTGTAGCACGTGTGTCTGACCAACAAAGACTATACACTGGAGGCAGTGGGAGATGAAGTAATCACTCAGCTTTGATAGGTCTTTAGGTCCTTAGTTTTGATAAATCTAAAAGAAAGGCAGGAATTTGGAAGCTTATGTGGAAAAGAGAGAAGTGCAGCAGTTGAAGGTGTCGTCATAGGTGGGCGATATCCATTACCAAGGCTGAGGGACTGATTATCTCATTTTTCATTGTCTCTAGTGCATGGTCTAGCACTTTAGTAAGATCTCGTCTAGAATTCTAGATCATGCAGCGTAGGTCTGGTTTCTATACTACAGAAAGGTATTAGGAAATATGAGAGAAATAAAGAATATGAAATCTTTCCTGTGAAGGAAGGTCGAAATCCCTGAATCTACTCTCGCTTAAATGGAACAGAATGATAGGAGATATGATTTAGGTAAACAAAGATAACTAAAGGAGATATAAAGTGGGTGTTGAGGATATCTAACCAGGAAAGAACGAGAAACTATGGTTTCAATCAGTTAAATTCAGATGTGTAAATTATATAGGAAAGTAGTGAATTAGCAAGGGAGTTTAGATGAGCAGAACATACCACCAAGTACAGGAATTGAAGCTAACACATCGGGTAGTTTTAAAATACTTAGACAAATATTTAAGTGAAATGGGATGGATCTGAGAAGAACCTAACTTGCATGGGCCAGTAGACGTTTCATCTCCCGGGGATGATCATTTGATCAAGTCTCTTGTGGACGAAATTTCTCAACATAATGCCATGTATCGCATATTGTGTCTTATTCACATACTTGTCGGTATATTTCGTCATTGCTATACATAACAGACTGCAGTACTCCTCTGTTGTGTCCTAATGTATTTGGAGCATATCGGCAAGTTGAAACAAATGATGTTGTATACCTAAAACGGGGTTGCGTGAAGCGGCCCTGGCAGGTCGTACAAACTGTGAAGTGTTCAGCTGGACGACGGTGTCTGGCTCTTCTTACTTGTCAAGTCGCCGGTATAAGATTTGTCTTGTGCACTCTGAAGAGAGGGTGCAGTGACTTAGTTGCTTGCATGGAATCTTTGCCTCTCAGTGGAACATGAAGTGTGTCTTCACTGTCGGCTATATGTTAATAACATGCACTAGGCTCTGGCTGAACCTCCTTGGGAATGAATTTTTATCACCGGCGTAACTGTAGACATGTTTGTAATAGGTTTGGTGAAGCTTTTAGTGTAGTTGATAATATGGCATTGGTGATGGATAATACTTATTACATACACACACACAACCATCCCTACCACTACTCCCCTACACAGGTGAGTTATCTAGAGAAGTCCTCGTTGGTGGAGGCCGCTGCACTTCGTGCTGAGCTGGAGGCGCGAGTCACGAGGATCACAGAGGACCTCCGCAGAGCTGCCCAGACCGAGGTGCATTCCACCACCCGACGCGCGCTCCACGAGAACGAGGCCTTAACAAAGCAGCTGGAAGTCTTCAGGGAGAAGTTAGGAGCGCTGAGGGAGGAGAACCAGGACCTGAGGGAGGCGCTCTCTGACTCCCAGGTGAATAAAAGTTCTAATATAGGGAATTAAACAAAGTTTTAGCTCTTTGCCAGATTTATCTATTTCTCAAGTGAATAACCAATTTCTCAGGAGCTTTATTTCCTAGGTTATTCTGAAAGTTCTATTGATTTTATAAGTCATCATCAGAAGGGTTGTCATCTTTTAGAACTTTAAAGCACACCTGAAAGGAACGAAGCTCTGAGAGTGTCTACAACGAAGTCAGGGATTCCGACTCAACGTAAGTTCTAGGGATGTCTGCGTGGACGTTCAGGAAACTTACTCAACGAAGTTCCGGGGTTGTCCAGGAAAATGTTAGTGAAGCCTTCGTTACTGAACGTGACCAAAGCCCCAAGTGCCTCCAGGGAAGAGTTAAGGAAGCCCACTTAACATGAACAAAACCCTGTAACAGTCTAGTAAGAGATCAGAGCTCTGAAGAAATCCCCGTCTGATTTTTCAATATTATTTACAAAATGTTTAGGCTTGAATATTTTTTTTTAGATTTTTGGCATGTTCAGCACGTTTTCTATGGATCTCAGCTGATTTTATGTTTAAAAAATCAGTTTGTTTAATGTAGTAATGGTAGCAGCAGCAATATTAGTAGAAGCAGTAGTAATAGCAGCAGCAGTAGTAATAGCAGCAACAGTAGTAATAGCAGCAGCAGTAGTAATAGCAGCAGCAGTAGTAATAGCAGCAGCAGTAGTAATAGCAGCAGCAGCAAAAGTAGTAATAATTTTAATAGTAATTGTAGTGACAGTGTTAGAAGCAGCAGCATCAGCAGCATCAGTGATAGCCAAAGCAGCAATAATAGTAACAGTAGTAGTGGTAACACTGGAGGTAGTAGTAGTAGTAACATTAGTAATAGTAGTAACCAGCAATAGTAGTAGCAACAATAGTAAGGCTAGTAATAGTAGTAGTAACACGGGTAGTAGTATTAGTAGTAGTAACACATAATATTAAGACTAACAATAGTAGCAGGAGCAGTAGTAATTTTTTTTAAATACTAATCGCATCACAATCTCCTAATTCCCCTCCTTTTCTACCGTATCTTCCATCCTTACTTTCTCTTCTTCCCCAAGCGTAAGAGTCCTAGAGGACTTCATTCCATTCTTCCTTCCCAGGTGAGAGAGGGAGTCCTACAGGACACTGTACGCCGCGTCACAGGAAGAGGAGAGAGGCTGGCACGGCTCCTTCAGGCTGTGACGGAACGCTCAGAGAATCACACACACGTCTGGAAGGATTACGACCGTCTTTCCAGGGAGAACCATCAGCTTCGCCGGGATCTACAGGTGTGTTGGACCTACCTGTAGAAAGCTCCCACACTTGCAGATCCCAAATTAAACTTAGGATATGTAAGTGTTTGGCGTGTGTGGGTACACGAGTTCTACTGCTACGGGATGTAAATACAGCGATACCTGACAGGGTTGTAATAAAAACATTTAAAAACAATGAACTGGCTCCTTGTAGCTAAGGCCTCAACTCCCCTTCCCACCCACAAAAAATATTTAGACAGACTTAGCATACATTACCGAAACAATTGTGGTAAATCTTTGTCGACAATGCCTATCGGTTCTCCCAGCTATGTGATGTAAGTTGAATAAACCTCAAGAACACAGCCAAAAAACACAATATTCATTTCTCTGGGACCTGTGCACACAGTGGGACGGATGATTAGTTATTCTACTAGGACTGAAATGTTTTCTAAATACACACTCAGTGGACACAGACCCTCCATCATCAACAATGATAACGCTTTCAGACCACAGTTTATGTTCACACAAGACCAATGCTAATTTACTATTGTTATATTCATGATCTATAACAAAGTTGTAATAGTGTCTTCAACCAAAGTTTGGATTATCCCAGGCGATGCAAGGTCAGCTGGACGTCACTACCCAGGCAACTTGTGAGCTTCGGGAGAAAGCTGTGGAGAAGGACGTTGCATTAGAGCTGACAGCTACCCACCTACGACAGGAAGACGCTGCCCGTAAGACCCTGCAAGATTCCCTCAGCGCCGCTCTCTCTCTCCTCCACCACGCGGTCTTCACGGTAAGTCACCCTCCTTCCTCCCTCTTTCCTTACTTCCAGTGGAGGTACCAATGGAGGAGGAAGCCAAACTAACAAGAGGTCGTACTTCTCTAACATATTTACTCTTTCTTTTCCACTAAGATATTTGAGGCGAATTACCATAGCTATAGAATATATTTACCTAGATTTCACTAAGGGTTCGGATGGAACCCAACTCCACCCAGGTTTAAAAATCAGAAGTTGAGGTAAAAGGTTCTGGAGGAAAAGTTTATGAAGGAATGTATGGCTGACTAAAAATCAGCAAATAAGGCCAGTATCAAATAGGATTGATTTTGGACCCCTTATTGCTTATTATTTACATTATTAACCTTGATGAAGGAATTGAAAATGACGGGAGTAAATTTGCTGAATACAACAACAACAAAAAAATGGCCGAGTAATTAATTCCGAGGAGAATACCTTAGAACTTCAGAATCTTATGGACTTAATGCTATGATCGAAAAGGTTAGCTTAGGAAGAATTCGTCAAGAAAGATGGCAAGTGTTTGCTGACGCGGGTCACATGATGACCCACCACTGGAACTTTTTTGATCATCTGACCGTGACCTTCCACTGGCTTACCCGTCCACCCCTTTAAAAATTAAAATTAATTACTCGGAAAACTGGCAGATTCAGTTAAATATATTCTATGTAGACAAATTCAAAATCCTAATCCTTAAGAAAGAAAACATCTCATAGGTGAGAAGTAAGGCAGAGACAGGTGAATGAAAAGGAAAAAGAGACACTTAAGAAATCAATATATTAAATTAAAAATGTAAATAAAAAAGTAATACGATAAGTCAAAGGAAATTATGAAGGTAAAGTCGCAAGGGATTCGAGAATTTATCAAAAAGTTTTTTTTCAGGTGTATAGGAGTAATATTAGGGACAAGATAGATTCACTTTAAAGTTCCTTAGGTACCGTATTTGGCGGCTTATTAGACGCATTTGTTTCCATAAAATGTCTCCAGAAAGCACTCTCCGTCCTATAAACTGAAGGTCAGTGACGAGAGCTAAAAGTTTGGGGTGTGGGGTGGGTTGTAGCTCTCCCCAGTTACGTCCGATGTCGAGCCATTAAAACTATAACAAGTCTTACAAGCCGCGTCTTATAAGCTGCGAAATACGGTAAGCTCACTGACACTGACAAAGAAACGTGTGCAGTTTTCTACATTCCTCTCCGTTTTTACTCAGGAAGATACTAGAGAAATTCCAGAAATAAAATAATGAATAGGTCAGGACAATAATAAGTTATGGGTGATAAAAGTCGCTAGTCACATGATTCTCAAACAGATTAATACCTAATAAATCCCCGGGCCCTCATAAACTGTTCTCAAGGAATGTAAGGAAGAACTTAGCAAACCATTTGCTAGTGTTTTCAGTATATCATTACAAATATAATGCCAGTATGTGGAAAATGGCAAATGTGATACTTGTCTACAAAGCAGGAGACAGGTCCTTAGCTCTGAATTATAGAGTAATAAGCCTAACCTTCACGGACAAAGTTCTTTGTCTCCCCAGACTCCTAAGTGCGCTACTCACCATTTTTCCCACGTCAATTCTATGATTCACCTCATCTCTTTCATAGACCCATCTGCTGACACATCCACTCCTAAATATCTGAATATATTCACCTCCTCCATACTCTCTCCCTCCACTCCGATATCCAGTCTTCTGTTACTTAATCTTTTTGTTATCCTCTTCACCTTACTCTTTCCTATATTCACTTTTAATTTTCTTCTTTTACGTACACTACCAAACTCATCCACCAACCTCTGCAACTTCTCCTCAGAATCTCCCAAAAGCACAGTGTCATCAGCAAAGAGCAACTGTGACAACTCCCACTTTGTGTTAGATTCTTTATCTTTTAACCCCACACCTCTTGCCAAGACCCTCTCATTCACTTCTCTTACAACTCCATCTATAAATATATTGAACAACCATGGTGACATCACACATCCTTGTCTAAGGCCTACTTTTACTGGGAAATAATCTCCCTCTCTCCTACATACTATAACCTGAGCCTCACTATCCTCGTAAAAACTTCACTGCTTTCAGTAACCTACCTCCTATACCATACACCTGCAACATCTGCCACATTGCCCCATATCCACCCTGTCATACGCCTTTTCCAAATCCATAAATGCTATAAAAACCTCTTTACCCTTATCTAAATACTGTTCACCTATATGTTTCAATGTGAACACTTGGTCTACACACCCCCTACCCTTCCTAAAGCCTCCTTGTTCATCTGCTATCTTACTCTCCGTCTCTCTTAATTCTTTCAATAATAACTTTACCATACACTTTACCAGGTATACTCAACAGCATTATTCTCCTATAATTTTTACATTCTCTTCTGTCCCCTTTGCCTTTATACAAAGGAACTATATATGCTCTCTGCCAAGCTCTAGGTACCTTATCTTCTTCCATACATTTATTAAATAATAACACCAACCACTTCAAAACTATATCCCCACCTGCCTTTAACATTTCTATGTTTATCCCATCAATCCCAGCTGCCTTACCCCCCTTTCATTCTACCCACTGCCACACTCACTTCTCCCACACTCACAACTGGCTCTTCCTCACTCCTACAAGATGTTATTCCTCCTTGCCTATACACGAAATCACAGCTTCCCTATCTTCATCAACATTTAACAATTCCTCAAAATATTCCCTATCATCTTCCTGATATATCCAACTCTCCATATATATATATATATATATATATATATATATATATATATATATATATATATATATATATAATATATATTATATATATATATATATATATATATATATTGTATAAAGTGTGTGTGTGTGTAAATAAACCGTGTTTATCCCACAGGAGGAAGAGAGTGGTGACAAGGACAGTGTAACTGGTGTCTTGCAGCAGCTGGTAAGTTTGTTGTCCTTCGCTGAGGCCGCCCACCAACACGCAGAGGAGGGGCGGCGCCCCCCAGGTCGTGGTGAGGGCGTAGAGGTTGCTGAGAAGGTGGGCGGTCCGGGTCAAATCAAGTACCGGGCGGGAGATCTAGGCCTCCTCCCACGCCCACACCGTAAAGCTAAGCCCACTCTCACGACAGATAACTAAGAATATACTCATGTCAGAGAGGTGAGAAATATGCCCATGTTAGACACCTGAGAAACACGCCGAATGACGCACCACCGACAGTGTTGAAGACATATTGTACGAGAACCCATTTTTAGGTATATTTGACTTACTATGTTCACCAGAGCGGTACGATGTTTTTAAAAACAAATTGGTCCATAACCTGAGTATTTTATTCATTAGAAAGTCTTTCTCTTTTTCTCCACACCCTGATTTGTACCTCCATACCACCCTCCCATCCCTCCCACCCATCCTTTCCACCCATCCCTCCCACCTATCCCACCCACCCATCCCTCCCACCACCCATCCCTCCCCACCTATCCCCCCACACCATCCCTCCCACCCATCTACCCACCCATCCCTCCCACCCATCCCTTCCACCCATCCTACCCACCCATCCCACCCATAACACCCACCCATCCCATACTGGATCACTATGACATACCCATACCCATCCCATACTGGATCACTATGACATGGCCTTGGATGCACTGGAAGAAAATCAGAATGCAGATGTAATATACACAGACTTTGCAAAAGCATTTGACAAATGCGATCATGGCGTAATAGCCCATAAAATACGTGCTAAAGGAATAACTGGGAAAGTGGGGAGATGGATCTTCAACTTCCTAACAAATCGAACACAAAGAGTAATGGTCAACAGAGTTAAATCGGAGGCTGCCATAGTGAAGAGCTCTGTTCCACAAGGCACAGTACTCGCCCCCGTCTTATTCCTTATCCTCATATCAGACATAAACAGAGATATACACCACAGCACCGTATCATCCTTTGCGGATGATACTAGGATCTGCATGAGGCTGTCATCTGCTGAGGACGCGGTTAACCTCCAAGAAGATATAAACAAAGTTTTCCAGTGGGCAACGGTAAACAATATGATGTTCAATGAGGACAATTCCAACTACTCCGTTATGGAAAACTGGAGGAGATAATAACTAGAACAGAGTATACTACTGACTCCGGCCATACAATAGAGCGGAAAAATAATGTAAGGGACCTGGGAGTAGTAATGTCTGAGGATCTCACTTTCAAGGATCACAACAGTGCCACGATCGCACGTGCAAAGAAAATGATAGGATGGATAATGAGAACTTTCAAAACGAGAGATGCCAAGCCCATGATGATCCTTTTCAAATCACTTGTTCTCTCTAGGCTGGAATACTGCTGTACATTAACATCTCCATACAAGCAGGTGAAATCGCAGATCTAGAGAGTGTACAGAGATCCTTTACTGCACGTATAAGTTCTGTCAAGCACCTTAACTACTGGGAACGCTTGGAAGCACTTGACTTGTACTCGTTGGAACGCAGAAGGGAGAGATATATCATAATCTACACTTGGAAAATCTTGGAAGGAATGGTCCCAAATCTGCACACAGAAATCACTCCCTACGAAAGTAAAAGACTGGGCAGGCGATGCAAAATGCCGCCAATAAAAAGTAGGGGCGCCATTGGTACACTAAGAGAAAACACCATAAGTGTCCGTGGCCCAAAACTGTTCAACAGCCTCCCATCAAGCATTAGGGGAATTGCCAATAAACCCCTGGCTGCCTTCAAGAGAGAGCTGGACAGATACCTAAAGTCAGTGCCGGATCAGCCGGGCTGTGGCTCATACGTCGGACTGCGTGCGGCCAGCAGTAACAGCCTGGTTGATCAGGCCCTGATCCATCGGGAGGCCTGGTCATGGACCGGGCCGCGGGGGCGTTGATCCCCGGAATAACCTCCAGGTAACCTCCAGGTATCCCACCCACCCATCCCTCCCACCCATCCCTTCAACCCATCCCACCCATCCATCCCACCCACCCATCTCTTCCACCCATCCCTCAAGGAGCTGACCTACACTCTCAATCTTCGTTTCTCGTAAACACTGATAGTGTGGAGTTGCCATCATTTATTATTAATAGACCTAGAGGGTGTTTAGGGGTCAGCGCCCCCGCGGTCTGGTCCATGACCAGGCCTCGCCGCAGATCAGGGCCGCACGCAAACCGACGTACGATCCACAGCCCGGCTGGTCACGTACTGACTGTAGGTATCTGTCCAGCTCCCTCTTGAAGACAACCAGGGGTCTATTGGTAATCCCCCTTATGTGTGCTGGGAGGCTGTTGAACCTCTGACATGACAATCCATATATTCATCTAAAAATAATCCACGTTAACAATACCTTTACATATAATAGCAGTTATTCACAGTAATGTATCATATTAACAGCAAAAATATTAAGAACTGAGCTGACAAAGCGCTAAACCTGGGCGAGGACCAGAAAAGAGAGATACGCATTAACAGATAAACGTTGTACTTGGTAGGTTAATAATATGAACAAGATGGAACACAGTATATGACGAAACTAAGATCTTTTAAAAATGAAACCAGGCACAGTGGAGGCTTAATAAAGACCCCCAACTGTAGCCTCTATAATCTTGTTACTTAATAAATTAGACACATGTGCAACTCTTGGGTATCTTTATTGAGGAAACGTTTCGCCACACAGTGGCTTCATCAGTCCATACAAAGGAGAATCTTGAAGAACAGGAGGAGAATGAGGTAATCAGTCCCACAACCTTGAGTCGATGTGGTCAGTCAATCAATCTATTCAAGATTGATGGACTGACCACATCGACTCAAGGTTGAGGGACTGATTACCTCATTCTCCTCCTGTTCTTCAAGTTTCTCCTATGTATGGACTGATGAAGCCACTGTGTGGCGAAACGTTTCCTCAATAAAGATACCCAAGAGTTGCACATGTGTCTAATTTATCAACATGTCGGTTCTCTGAACCATTCATCTACAAATCTTGTTACTTAGCAACAATGTAAGAGTGCATATTAAACTAACACAGCTGTGAGATCCAAATACACTGCCGAGATAATGAAAAAACCTCACTTAATCAGCTTAAACTGGGAAAATTCTCGCTCTGTGTCACGACTTCGTAACGTTCTTCAGAGAGAGATTTGTTGTCTTAGTAAAAATTAGTTGTGCAAACTGTGTTTTCTTCACACCTTGAGAGATTATTTTACCCATTATTCAATTATCGTTTAAGAAACTACTGTCAGCAAACATTACTTCACAAACAATAATTAGTGGAAAATGTTTTGTTAAAAGTAACATTCGACTATAATATATGATACATCGGTACTTTAACATATTCCTAAATAAACTCTGAATTACAATAACATTACTTAACAGTATTTATCAGTATAAATACCACTCAAGTAGAAGAAATTACTTCTATCTGCTATGTCTGCTAATATTTCCAGAGCATTATATTATATGCCATTTTCATCAAATAAATATGCAGAAAAGAAGAAAAAAAATCACCCTAGAAACAGAGGAAAACAAAATAGGCGACTGTCGTAATCCTGTTTGGCTGAGTAGCTTTCATTTATCCCTTAATAGTGCAGCGGTTCTCCTGGTAGGTCGTGTCTTCGTCATCTTGTCTTGAGATGGTCTAGGCTGTGAGTCACACTTCTTCACTGCATTTGGCTGTTGAATGTGATTATTGCAGGTCACACTTATCAAGAGAAGCCTATTACTCTCAGACTCTTATTTCTCTAATAGTATCCGCTTTTCTATGTTGTGTAAATTGCGCAAGACTTTCACTGTATCGGCCATCCCATATCGATCCGGACAAAGTTCAGTGACCTTACCTAAATGCCATTTTGTCCTATGACAGTCAACATCGATAAGCACATTTTCTTCTGCTGTCATATCTTATGCATCTCTTGACGTATCGTCCATGTAGTGATGTATACCTTTATCGGCACTTTATCAGTATTTTTGATCAAACTGTTTAGACGGGTGTTATCGGCCCGTGTCACTTTCAACAGAGCCCTACGTTCAACGCCCTCAACTGGCACTAGCGGGTAGGGGACGGGAGAAGACAATACATGATGATCTGATTAACATATTGCCTTTTCTGAAGGATCCAATATAACTTTCAAAGGTGACAATGTATTCTGAACCTCTTTACCCAACACATTTATATGACTTTGGAATGAAGATGAAGTGCTATTTATTGACTTATTTATTTATTGACTTATTTATTGTTTATAAATGTTACTGCTACACATGATTACATTCTAACCATACCACGGGCGGGGTTTGAACCCGCGGTCAGAGAGTCTCAAAACTCCAGACCGTCGCGTTAGCCACTGGACCAGCTAGCCAGTGGCTAACGCGACGGTCTGGAGTTTTGAGACTCTCTGACCTCGGGTTCAAATCCCGCCCGTGGTATGGTTTGTTTGCAATCGTGTCATTACGATTTCGTGAGTCATGATTACATTCTCTTTCATCCAGATAGAGATCTAACATCTTCACTAACCCAGGTCTTTCCAAAGTAACTTTTATTTAATTTTTCAAGTACTCAGCCTCCCTGGGATAGGCACTCTGCATGCTGCTCCTACTAATTAAATGGTGGGGCAAAATTGTATTTAATATTCAGCTTATATAAAGATATCTGAGTACTAGATATGTTACACTGAGTAACTACTTCAGTACTGGTTACCTAGACTGGCTGTATCCCTTCTTAATACCTGGAGTTTACCTGGAGAGGGTTTTGGGGGTCAACGCCCCCACGGCCCGGTCTAAGACTAAGTCTCATGGTGGATCAGGGTTTAATCAACCAGGCTGTTACTGCTGGCCGCACGCAAACTGACATACGAACCACAGCCCGGTTGGTTAGGTACTGACTTTAGGTGCCTGTCCAGTGCCTTCTTGAAGACAGCCAGGGGTCTATTGGTAATCCCTCTTATGTATGCTATGAGGCAGTTGAACAGTCTTGGGCTCCGGACACTTTTTGTGTTGTCTCTCAGTGTACTCGTGACACCCCTGCTTTACATCGGGGAAATGTTGCATCTCCTGCCAAGTCTTTTGCTTTCATAGGGAGTGATTTTCGTGTGCAAGTTTGGTACCAACCCCTCCAGGACCTTCCAAGTGTATATTGTCATATATTTCTATCGCCTGCGTTCCAGGGAATACAGATCAAGGACCTTCAACCGTTCCCAGTAATTTAGGTGCCTTATCGTACTTATGTGTGCCGTGAAAGTTCATTGTACACTCTCCAGGTCAGCAATGTCTCCTAGGGAGATATGTTTGCCTTTAACTCTGGCAAACAATTCTTCTCCATTATCCCCTCAAGACCATGAAACCATAAATCATTATTTAGGATTTCTACAGTGTTCTTGTCTGTGTAGCACGTCTTCTAACCTATTCTTCTAT